CAGTAAACATTATTAATGAAAGAGTCCCACCTAGAGTTTAAAAAAGGTATTGCATAAGTACAGTATAGTACTAGAAATACACTACATTACTGTGCTTATCTGGTTAAGGTTTATAGCGAATACAGATTTCAGAATATATTGAAAAACAACACAGAATAATATAATTTTGTAGGATAAAAGTGCAAATATTTAATACAGAAGATGACTTTTTTCAGATCAAAACAAAGGCAGAATTTGTCTTTGTTATTTTATTTAATATATATATAATATATATATATATATATATATATATATATATATATATATATATATATATATATATATATATATATATATATATACTGTGACCTGCATTAGAAAGTAATATTGAATAAATAAAAAAATTCAATGAAAATTAACAAATGGAAGTCACACATTGCTTTTCAATTATTCCTCAATAAAATTATGATTATAGAAAATACAAATAAATAAATTAAACAGGTCCTTTTGAGGCAATTACTGCAATCAAAAATTTCCTTTTACTGTCAATGAGAGCTCTGCTCCTCTCACAGGTATTTTGGCCTTCTTCTCATGAGTAATCTGCTTCAGTTGTCTCCAGGTTTAAAGGTGCCTTTCCCAAATGACATGTTTCAGTTTCTTTTAGAGGTGCTCAAAAGGATTCAGCTGAGGGCGGATCGATGACGACAGCAGAATAGTCCAATGTTTTCCTCTTCTCTGTTCTGCGTGTTTTTAGCTGTGTGTTTTGGTCATTATGATTATGCTAGACCCACAGCCTCCGACTGAAGCCAAGTTTTCTGACAGTATGCAGCACATTTATCTCTGGAATCTATTGACGGTCTATAGGTTTCATTTTGCCCTGCAGAGATTCAAGACACCCTGTGTCAGATGAAGCACACCAGCACCAGAGAGCCCCTCAGGACTCTGGGGCATTTCCACACGTTTTTATCAAATAACTTTAATCTTTTTCCTTAGAAACAAAGCATGTAGAACACAACATTAACCTTTATGTAAAACGTATAATGCAATTCTCTTTTCTTCATTCTGGAAAGTAAGAGTGTGCTAAACCAAGCAGTGAAATTAATGATGCGCTGAAGACAGTGACTGCTGCTGTGGTAAGAAATGCTATTGGATTGAGAGCAAGATGCCAAAAAACTATAAGATATGAACATGTAGCGAAATCTTTCAGTTGCACCTGTCAGGTTTGGTGGAAGTTAGATGAGGACCCAAATGCACAGATGAGGAGGCAGAGATGAGTTATGCTGAGTTAATGAAAAAGGCAACAGAAACAAAATCCAAGTACTGAAATTTAGGAAACCAAAAACTAGGAGATGTCAGGGGAAAACACGCATGGAAAACCAAGTAACAACAAGAAACCAGCAAACGATAACTGAAGAGGAGGAGTGTATATGGGGGACAGGACAAAGAATGGACTAATCGGCTGATATGGAACAGGTGTGGACAGAAGTAACTAGCAGGGAGCTAGTGGAAAGGAGATTGGCACAAGGGGAGAGTAACTCAAAAAATGAAACACAGATTAAATATACCACAAAATGGAAAAGAACCAATGACCAACAAACCAGAATGATATAAATAACTGAAAACCTAAAAAAGAAACTAAAAAAAAAGTCTAAAAGAAGAGAAACATAACAGCACCTACAATATGTTTTAAGGACATTATAACCATTTATTTTTTTGGCATGAAACTAGAGACAGGTCAGTGTGTTCTGTGGTCACCATATCAGTGTTAAACTTCTGTAAACATGATCGTATGTGTGCTGACTTTGGATGATTACAAATGTTCTAAAGGTTGGGTTTAAAAACTCTGTAAAAAACAGAACATCTGGAACATCTAGCTGTTAAAATGAAAGAGATCCATATAGATTATCAAAATCTGACACGTTCTTGTCTTTTGGCGTATATGCTTTTGTTCTGGGGGCTGTACTTGAAAGAAAAGGTTGTTTCTCTGAAAATGTTGTTCAATTTAGAATATACCACGATACCAGATTATGAGGTAATAGTTTATGTAAGGTCATTTTGACCAAGTCAGTTTGACCATCGCATGCCTTTTATCTTATCTGGTTGGTAGATGACAAACAGCAACTCACAAATGTGGTGCAAAGGAAAATATTATGCGACTCTAAGAATTTTTTAATGAAATTAATAGATATTAAAAATAATTAACAAGAGGAAAATATTCCAACCTCTAGTTACATTGTTATGATAAAGCAATAACCCCTTCGTGTTTTCCTATCTTCTAAAAACACTGAAACCAAACAAAATCCAATAAACATCAGGGAAAATACACGTGTGGCGCAAGAGACGAGGAACCAACAAAACAACAACAAGAAACCAGCCATTAGGAACTGCATAACAGAAGAATATGGGGAAAGGGAGCTGAAGCAAAAAAAAAAAAAAAAAAAAAAAAAAAATATATATATATATATATAAAACTGTTTTCTCACCCCTCGTGGGGTGGTATGTGTCATCCTCAAGCTCGGGTCTTAGCTGTTCCTAGGACTGCGCTCTTCTGGACAGAGACCTCTGATGTTTTACCCGGAATCTGATGTAGCCACTCTCCCAGTTTGGGGGTCACAGCCCCCAGTGCTCCAATTACCACTGGCACCACTGCTGCTCTTACTTTCCACATCTTTTCTAGCTCCTCTTTCAGCCCTTGGTATTTCTCAAGCTTCTCGTGTTCTTTCTTCTTGATGTTGCTGTCGCTTGGGATTGCCACATCTATTACTACTGCCTTCTTCTGCTGTTTGTCGATCAACACGATGTCTGGTTGGTTAGCCATCACCTGTTTGTCAGTCTGGATCTTGAAGTCCCATAGGATCTTAGCTCGGTCATTCTCAACTACCTTAGGAGGTGTCTTCCATTTTGACCTTGGGACTTCCAGCCCATACTCATGCCAGATGTTCCTGTACACTATGACAGCTACCTGGTTGTGGCATTCCATGTATGCACTTCCTGCCTGCATTTTACACCCTGCTGTTATTTGCTGTATTGTTTCAAGAGGCATCTTTGCACAGTCTGCATTGGGGGTCCTGCCTGGTGTGGAAGACCCCGTGCCTGTTCTTGTGCTGCCATGATTAGTGCCTCTGTGCTGTCCTTCAGTCCAGCCTTTTCGAGCCACTGGTAGGATTTTTTGATATCAGCCACTTCTTCTATTTGTCTGTGGTACACGCCGTGTAGCGGCTTGTCCCTCCATGATGGTTCTCCTTCCTCTTTCTCGTCCTTACTTTCGGTTGTCTCCTGCCTGAGGTATTTGCCAAGCCATTTGTCTTTGGGGGCCATCTTCCTGATGTACTCCTGGATCTTAGTTGTTTCATCCTGGACAGTGGTCTTGATACACACTAGCCCTCGGCCTCCCTCGCTACGCTTGGTATACAGTCTCAGGGTGCTGGATTTGGGGTGGAACCCTCCATGCATTGTACAGTAAGGAGCTTTCTTGTCTTGATGTCAGTAGCCTTTATCTCCTCTTTTGGCCAGTTTATTATACCAGCGGGGTATCTGATGACTGGCAGGGCATATGTGTTGATGGCTTGGATCTTGTTTTTCCCATTCATCTGACTTTTCAGGACCTGCCTTACTCTTTGTAGGTATTTAGCTGTGGCACTCTTTTTTGCTATCTCCTCGTGGTTTCTGTTAGCCTGTGGCACCCCAAGGTATTTGTAGCTGTCCTGAACATCTGTAATGTGTCCTTCTGGTAGTTCAACCCCCTCGGTTCTGATCATCTTCCCTCTCTTTGAGACCATGCGACCGCACTTGTCCAGTCCGAATGACATCCCAATGTCGTTGCTGTAGATCCTGGTAGTGTGAATCAGTGAGTCGATGTCTCGCTCACTCCTGGCATACAGCTTGATGTCATCCATGTAGAGGAGGTGACTGATGATTGTTCCGCTTCGGAATTGGTATCCGTAGCCAGTCTTTGTGATGATCTGGCTGAGGGGGTTCAGGCCTATGCAGAACAGCAGCGGGGATAGTGCATCGCCCTGGTATATGCCGCACTTGATGGTGAATTGTGCTATTGGCTTTGCATTGGCTTCCAGACTTGTTTTCCACAGCTTCATTGAGTTCTTGATGAAGGCTATTAGAGTCAGGCTATTAGAGCATTCCAGTATCCATGTATGTGGCATTGAGTCGCAGGCTTTCTTATAGTCAATCCAGGCAGTGCACTGATTTGTCTGCCTGGTCTTACAGTCTCGAGTGACTGCTCTATCCACTAGTAGGTGCTGCTTGGCTCCTCTGGTGTTACTGCCTATTCCCTTCTGGGAAGGGTACATGTATTGAGCCATGTGCCTATTCATCTAAGCCGCTATGATGCCTGACAGGAGCTTCCATGTTTTACATAGGCAAGTTATTGACCGGTAGTTGGATGGGGTTGTTACTTCATGATCAGGATTGTCTGTCCTTGGGTTAACAATTCTGGGTGGGTCCCATCCATCCGCAATTGGTTCATTTTTTACTCCTGGATATATATATATATATACATATATATATATATATATATATATATATATATATATATATATATATATATATATATATATATATACATATATATATATGTGTGTGTGTGTGTGTGTGTGTGTGTGTGTGTGTGTGTTTGTGTGTGTGGTGGAGGGTGTGGTCTTGTTTTACCTACAATGTGAGGGAAGTATTTTGTAACATATCCTACATGCGAGGACTTACAGGTACATATGGGGACATTCAACTGGTCCCTATATGGTAAAGTTCTGTTCTTTGAGTTGGGGTTAGGTTTAGGACTAAGGTGTGAATTCAGTTTAGGTTAGGATTAGGTACATCTTGGTAATAGTTAGGGTTAGGGTAAGGTGAAGGGTCTGGGTTAGGCCATATAAAATGAATGCAAGTCAATGAAATGTCCCCATATGTCATGAAAACAAAGCTGGGTGGGTGTGTTTATGCATGTGCGTAAAAAAAAAAGGTAAAGAATAAGCCATTTAAGAGAAGCAGGTTAAAATTGACAGACTGAAAAATTCAATTGTTAGACTATTTAATCAAGGCAATTATTCATATGGCAGGGTTGTATGGCTCTTGGCAGAATAAGCCCCAAAAAGTGGGACAGCACTTCTGGTTTTCTGAGCAATCGCTGTCACGGAGGCAGGAGTTATAACACCAAGAAAACATCCATGGAGGACTGCAGCTTCCTGGTTTCTCTGCAACACAACAACAATTTTTTAACACAACAGCTTGGTGATAGCTGCAGTATGAGAATTGTATTTTTCTCCTTGTGCAGCATGTACCTGTACTAATGCACATCCGCCCACATCCATTGGAGCAGCATATCTCACCAGCTGGGCAGTCAAAGTCACTGGAACAGAGTTCAACGCATGGACCAATTTTTCCATCTGTGTTTGGGCAAGCTGGGTTAGCTGAGAGGAAAGACAAAAGCAGAGAAGAAAAGAAAAAACAAACAACGATTAAACTTAAGTGTTGAAAGTTAACTGAATTTGAAAAAAATCTAGAATTTTGATTGCTTAATTTATACCGGTGTGTCTTACTTATAATTGGAGGAGCACAGGCAGATCCACTGGCAAAACTACAACATTTTTCCTGTCCAGGACAGTGTCCATCATTCTGACAGGGTCTTGCTGGGAGAAGGGTTTGGAAGACAAGGGGGCACTTTCCAACTTTGGGGTCCTCTCCTATTTTGGGATTTAGAGTATTGCAAACAGCATGGCATCATTAAAAAGAAATAAACAAACAAAAGAAACTGCAATTCCATGGCTGCTTGTTCTAGTCTACATCTTGAACAATGTACACCCTATAGCAGTGGTCTCCAACCCTGGTCCTCAAGATCTACTGTCCTACAGATTTTAGATGCATCCCTGCTTCAACACAGCTGAATCAAATGAATGGCTTGAAAAGGTAATCAATCATTTGATTCAGCTGTGTTGAAGCAGGGATGCATCTAAAATCTGTAGGACAGTAGATCTTGAGGACCAGGGTTGGAGACCACTGCCCTATAGTATGACCCTGAGATTTGGAGAGGAATAGAAATAAAACATTATTGCTGATGAATGATCAAATGTTTACTTAATATAAAGTGACTGAATTATATTTTCACCAAGTATATGCTCATCACACCTTCCGTCTTTCTCCACTGTTTTTCAACCTGTTTCTGCACTAGGGAGAGGGGATCAGCTGGTGTAACATGTATAGTTAAAATTGAAACAAATATTTGAGGTATTAAAGAGTTCCCTAAAAATATGGTGAAAAAAATACTCAAGAATAAAATGGCAAAATAACTATTTAGTAAAATCATAAATGATGAAATGGATAAAGTAACAAAGGTGATCTATTTTTTCCCCCCAGTTAAGTTAGGGAAGCTCCATACCATATACTAATGACATGCCATATTTACAACATATAGGCTCATATTTCTTTTTATTTAAGTCAAAGTATACAGTTGTGTATATTAGCAGAAGTTAGCAGAGATGGGAAGTAACAAAGTACAAATACTTCGTTACTGTACTCAAGTACATTTTTCTGATATTTTTACTTTACTTTACTACTTATTTTTATGGCGACTTTTTACTTCTACTCCTTCCATTTTTACACAAATATCTGTACTTTCTACTCCTTACATTTTTAAAAATTGGCTCGTTATTTTAGTTTTGAATCATTTCAATGGAGTTACCGTTATTATTTTTCACGTCATCAATACCAAGTTCAATCTAATTGGAATCTACGTTGCATTTGACGCACCACTACAAGATGAATCGACAGATTCGGCGGTATTCATTCGCAGGAAATCATTGCAGCTTGGTGGCGGTGGCGTTAGCATAGTAGCATGGACGACGAGATGATTGAAAATGAACACAACGGAGATCTAGTCCTATTGGCAGACATCCATTTAAAATGTAGGCAACGGCATGAAAAAAGTGGTTTCTACTTTTACTTTTATACTTTAAGTAACTTTACAAGCCTGTACTTTGTTACTTTTACTTGAGTAAAGAAGTTTAATCAGTACTTCCACTTTTACCAGAGTATTTTTTAACAGAAGTACCTGTACTTTTACTCAAGTACAGAAAGTGAGTACTTTTGCCATCTCTGGAAGTTAGTGACTTTTTATTTATTTCATATTCAGAGAAAAGAAAAAACTTTTTCAGTTGGTGAAGCAATCTTGAATAATAATGAGAATTAATTAGTATAAAATGTTTACCACATTATAATCTGGAGTGGGTTTGGATAAATAGTTTGGCCAGTTTGAATTAGCATAGCATAAAAAGGGAGATAACTTGAAAATTCATGGTTTCTAAGAAACAATCCAAAGAAGGCACAACTGTCTAAAAGTTTAAGGATCAGCAGTAATTACCTTGCAATAAAAAAACGCAATTTAGAATCAATGAGAAGCACTTTGATACTTGACCGATGAAATTTATTTGTGACATTAATCTAAATGTTTATAAATTAATTGTGCTTATAGCAAGTCCATATAAGAGTACTGGATCTAAAATGTCCTCTATTTCAAGTGCAAACTGATGCATAATATACATTCAGTAAGCTATATTTATTCGGAACTATGGAGATAGGTTGACACAGATAAGACACATAAAGTGATGAAAATATCTGAATTTATTTCACCTGTAACTGTAATCAATACAACATTAGATGGAACTATAGACTTATTATAATAGCTCATTAGATAAAATACATATGGGGATATATTATGATTCCTGCAGACTTTTGGATCTGGTCAGGGTTCCCTAATACATACTCCCAGGGTGCTAACAACAGACTAGTAGCTAGTTCTGAGGATGTAAAAGGAGTTTTACATTCAAGCGGTGGACTTCGTGTGGATGCTATGTATAGAGGAGATGGAGAAGTTTTTAACAGTTTCAGGATTCAGAACTGTTGAGCCTTGTGAACAGAGTACCCTGTACGGGCACAGTCCTATGCTCTGAAGGGAGGAATATCTAAATATTACAGTCCACTTGCTGACAGAATCCAATTTTCAACACTCTGCTAGATTCGGCCTCTCTGTTATGATGCTTATGCCAAAGATAAAGACTTATCCAACAAGGTTTGTGGGGACACTCAGGCCTGATATCTCTCAGAAGGTTTTCAGATCCCTCTCATTAAGAACTTAAACTTAGACTTAGACAGATCTTATTTGTCATTTTGTTTACACAAGTGTAAAACAAAAAGATATTTTGTTTAGAACATATCCTAACATTGAAACTGTTTGGATGTGTTGGAGAGGATGAATGTTCCAAGAGAGACTTTCTTTTCCAGGACCAGGGTGGGTCCTGACCGGTCCCTAACATAGATCCACTTACGCCGGTTCACACACATATACCCCGGTGAATGAGAGAATGGCCTCCTTATGCGAGAATGGCGGACTGATTGTGTTTATTCGCCAAACTGCAGTTCAGATTGCCTACCCTTTTTGGAGTCCTTAGTACTGGAGAGTGCCCTACCTGAGGGGTCCCTTGTTCTTCTGGGGAACTCAGCGCTCATGTGGGCAATGACAGTGAGATATGAGGGCTTGTGGTTGGGAGGAATGGCCCAGCTGAACTGAACTCCAGTGGTGGTCTGTTGTGTGTCTTCTGTGCTCATCCATTGGCCATAACGATCACTAAGCATAAGGGTGTCCATGTGAGCTCTTGGCACCAGGACACCCTAGGTCGTAGTTCAATGATCGACTTTGTTGTTGTTTCATTTGACCTGCGGCCACATATCCCAGAGACCTGGGCGAAGAGTGGAACGGAACTTTACACCGACCACTACCCGGTGGTGAAGTGGCTCCAATGGCGGGTCAGACATGGTAGGCCAAAACGTATTGAGAGGGTTTGATGGGAACGTTTGGCAGAGTCCCCCGTGAGACAGAGCTTTAACTTCCACCTCCTGGATAGCTTTGAACATGTTCCGAGGGAGCTGGGGGACTCTGAGTCTGAGTGAACCATGTTCCATACTTCTATTGTTGAGGCAGCTAGTCAGAGCTGGGGCCGCAAGTTTGTTGGTGCATGTTGCGGCGATAACCCTCAAACACATTGGTGGACACCAGTGTTGAGGGAAGCTGTCAAGCTGAAGATGGACTGGCATGGTGTACTTCAAAGACCTCCTTATTCCCACAAACACATCTCCATTGAGGAAACAGAGCCTGGGGGCTCCGGGTTGGGTTTTCCCATCTCTGGTGCTAAGGTCACTGAGGTAGTTAAAAAGCTCCTCTGCGGCAACCCCCAGGGGTGGATGAGATTCACCCTAAGTAGCTTAAGGCTCTGGATGTTGTGGGGCTCTGTTGGTTAACGCAACTCTAAAACATTGTGTGGACATTGGGGGCAGTTCCCCTGGATTGGCAGACTGGGGTGGTGGTCCTCCTAAAAGTGCGACTGGAGGGTGTGTTCCAACTAAAGAGGAATCTGTAATCTGGAAAGGAGGGTTCATCAGATAGTGGAATATTAAATTCAGAAGGAGCAGTGTTGCTTTCGTACCAGCTGTGGAACACTGGATCAGCTCTACATCCTCAGCTGGATCCTGGAGGGTGCATGAAAGTTTGCCCAACCAGTGTACATGTGTTTTGTGGATCTGGAGAAGGCATTCGACTTTGTCCCTTGGGGGGCCATGGAGGGGATGGTCCAAGAGTATGGAGTACTGGGCCCTTTATATTGGCTGTTAGGTCTCTGTCACTGCATGAAAAGTGGGATTTTCGTCAATATGCGGCACTGTAGATTGTCGTGGAACTTCAGGTTAGCGGCAGTTTACGACAATTTGCAGGCTTCGCCGAAAACTCCCGTAAATTGTCAGAAATTGACGTGGACTCTCTTAGGCAGTGTTCCCCCCATGCCTCCCCCCCATGGAATTCTAGGGGAGGCTTTAACATGTAAATGAACATGCTGTGAGCTATACAAATGCAAACCAGGGTTGCAGGAGGGGTTTTACACCAAGTGACATTTTTCTGAAAGGTAAGAATACAAAGAGATCAGGCTCAGTATAGCCTCTTACATTTTAGCTTGAATTGATTTATTTAATTAAAGTATAGAGACCAAAACAGATCTTTAGCTGACAGAGCAATACATTTAGAGCAGTAATTATAAAAAAAAAAAAAATTGCATTTAAGATAAAAAATAAAATGTTGTCTGTCAATATGCTCAATTCACAATTACTTAAGTGGAAAAGTTTCAAGAAATGAGTCTGAGATGATTCACTTTATAACATGGCGCATTATCCTGTTGGAAGTAGCCATCAGAAGATTGGTACACTGTGGTCATAAGGTCCGGCCAGGTCAAGATCCGCAATTGCAATCGCACCAAACAGGAAAAAGAACATCGACAAATTCCGGTTCGTCAAATTAAAATATAGCAGCAACAGATCGGTGACTAGAAATTATAGCACAATTCTTATATATATATATATATATATATATATATATATATATATATATATATATATATATATATATATATATATATATATATATATATATATATATATATATATATATATAAACACCGTTTATTTAAATGATTGGATCCAAACTATTGGTTATTCACCAACGAGGAAGCAGATTTCTCATCTCCATCAAAATATTTATTTTATACCGAGGGACTTAAACTTTAATCAAATCCATTCAAAAGAAACTTCTTATTACAGGAATGAAAAGAGATGCTGAGTTTGGAAGTAGTGAACAAGTTCATTCAAA